TTTACTTGTCGACAGCCTATATGCCGAAGCAATAGAGGCTGCAAAGTCGCGTGCCGCTTTATCGGCTTCTACCCCCGAATTAATTTCTAGTTTAGGTGATATTAATTCAGAAGCGAGGCTTTGAAACCGCTCCCAATCCGTAAATTTTTCAATGGGTTCCGAAAGATTCCTAATTTTAACGTGATCCGGTATGTGGAATACAATTGGTAGGTGATCTGAGTCCAAAATATCAGAGACGATGACATCTGACACTCTGATATTTTGGTGAACCACAATGTCTAACACGTCACTATTTCCCGCAGGGGATTAATGAGTGGGGCACTGTGGTGCTGAGATTTCGAAAACACTCATATCAAATAAATCAATAAGTTTCAAGCCTGAGGGGTTTGAAACTCTGCTATTCCAAAAGGGGTTCTTAGCATTCAAATCACCTGCCAAAATAGACTTACGTCTGAAGCTTAAGAGCTCAGTGATGTCAGCATCATTCCAGGTTCTGCCTGGAGATTTATAAACAGCTGCAAGCAGCACTTCGCTATTACCAATTGGTATGCAGACCCCTGTCGCTTCTACTGAAATAAGGGGTGGTAGGTCTACATGGTTATGGGGAATGCCTTTTCTTACTGTAACGGCAGTGCCACCTTTTCTGCCCGAGTGGCGGTCGATTCTATAAACGTGGTGATTTGGAATAAAGAACCTCTCATGAAGTTTCAGATGTGTCTCTGAAAACAGGGCAACATCTACGTGTAGGTATTGCAGCTGTTTACTGAGCTCATAGCGCCGCCTCCCAATGCCGTTCGCATTAAATGCTATGACTTTGAGGGGCCTATGAACTCTAGTGGCCATTTTGTTTCATTAGGTTTAGAACAATTTTAATAATGGCCATTATTTTTTCTTCCTCGGACACTGCACCACTGAACTCTGTCATTATCTGCTGTACTACAGTCACTATTCTCAACATATTGTCGAAAGATGGACTGTTTACATGAGGAGCCTGAACTGACTGACCTGTTTCCTGTTGCATTTCAGGAGCCGGAACAAACTGCTGTCTTGCTGCGGGTGTAGAAGCCACCGGAGAGGGATTTGTTTGTGGAAGTTGCTTTGCGCCGCCTCTGAGTTCCGCCGCGAAGGAGACACCTGGAGTCATGACGTTTGTTGAGAATACCTTCCCTGTGGTATTTCTGGGCGTTCTCTGTGTCTTCCTCTTTTGCTGCTCCTCCTTGGTGTATCTGCAACCCCGACAATTGGCGGGATGCGGGTTTTCTCCCTCCGCCAGTCGGCAGTTGCAACATGCTTGAGTGGAGGCAGAGGTCCCCCTTTTCTGGGCACTCCTTGTGTAGGTGGCCACCTCCGCACCACCAACAACGTGGGGGTTGCTTGCAGTTTGCCAAACGTGGCTGAACTGCTGGCAGTTGTAGCACTGTGTGAGCCCGCTTTGTGCTTCGTACGCCTTTACCCTGATGGCAATGTGGCAGAGGTTGGTCAGTCGGACTTCTCCGTTCTAGGAAGTGTGATAAGGAACAAGGGAAGGTAACGCGTATTTGTTCCTTCTGGAGGAGTCCGACAGCTGGCCATTTGCTTGACGCTAATGACGTCAAATCCCAGACTAACCAGACCGTCAGAGATATCTTCTGCTGAAGTATTTTGTGAAGGTGACGGATAACAGCTTTGATGAGTTTCTCAGATTTGTGATTGTATGTAAAGTACGATAGATTGTTACTTTATAGGAAATTTTTGATGGCTGAGAAGTCCGCCATTTCCTTCGTGACAATTCTGGTCCCGCTCCTGGTGTTGCGGAACTCAAAATTGCGCATGACTAGGTCTTTGACCTTCCTCTGCAACTGTATCAGGTTCGTCGTGGAGGTTAGTACAATTGGAGGCGGCCTACCTGGCTTGTTGTTCGATGGCTGCTGTTCTACCGACTTGTTGGCTGTCTCCTCCACGTCCATTCCTGATGTCCTCAGGGGCGCAAAGAAGTTCTTTATTTGTACTTCGCCCTGGGATTTTATCCTAGGGTCCCTGGGGCTAGGTGATGGCTTCGGTTTTTTCGTCTGTTCTTCTGAGGAGTTTCGCTTTCGTCTCCTTTGCTCTCGAAATTCCTCGGCTGAATCTTCTTTTTCTTCCAGCAGGAGAGACTCTCGCATCTCCTCATGGATGGCAGCATAGAGGCGCAGCATGGCTGTAAAGAGCGCCTTGCCGTCAAGATACTTACAAAGCACTGTCCTCTCGGCCTCGGATTTCGTTATAAGTTTATTCCATACTGAGCAGTTTCCATTTATGGAGGGTGATGTATGGATAAGCTGCCCTATAGTTTGTAAGCCTTTGCCCAGTAGCTCGATATCTTCCTGGCAGTCAGGATTACTATTTCTTAAGTTAACGTGGTTCCTGTGAAAGGAAACCACGATTGCATTCCACAGCATTTCACACAAGGTCGGCTCCTTCATTTCGCCTGCTTCATAATCCGTTGCAGACGGGACGGCCCTCACGTCCGATGCACTAGCCACGCACTATATGCTGGTAGCAGAATAGTCAACCAGGTAAGCTACATCGCATTGCAGGATGTTTCATTCATATTTATACAAGCACGCACTGCAAATTTCTGCTTATCATTTTCGCTAGGCAATCAGCTCCCTGCAAATTGTTGCTCCTGAAATGCAAGTTTCGCTCCGCCCACCGAGCATTGTATAAAAGGCGGAGCACAAGCTCGCAAGTCGTAAGTCTTCAATCAGTTCCACAGCAGTTTTCATGAAGTCTACAAACAGCACGCTTCGTCGCCAGCGCTCGGTCTTCGGAGGCGTCGGCACTTCGCTGCGCCAGGCTCGACTGCCTCGGCTGTCCGGCGGTCACGCCCAACTCACTGGGCAGCTCGGCCACCTCGATTCGCCGGTGGTCATGCCCGACACACTGGGCAACTGGCGCAGCTACCGCCTCTCCAATCCAGCGACCGCGCTCCGCAAGCATCGTTTTCCAGCAACCAAGCAACCTCCAGCAACGGCCGCTCTGCGGGCCAGTCAACTGCCTCAGCCGCCTCAACACACCGCAACCAACATCCCCTTTCTATCGGCGCGCGCCGCGCTACTTCACCTGCCAAACATCCCAGCAGCCAACGGTCGTTTTTAGGACCTACAAACTTTTCCGAAGAAGTGGGTTGTCATTGAAGTAATGACAAAACCCCACACTTCTATCGCCTGAAATCTGAGTACAGCATTTACATAAGTCACAATATTCCTTGCGTTATCATTAACCACTCCAGAAGTTAGTTCCTCTCTCTAGCGGCCTCCCTTTACTATGAAAAGGGACCATACTTACACACGAAGCAGATGGACTCAGAAGAAATTGACTAACTTGTCATTAATTACTTATGAGAAGAACACACATCATAACTCAGAGAACAGGACAAATTTTTGTGACTCTGTGACAGAAATATTCACTTAACAAAAACGTTACATTCAACTGAATACAGAGTGTAAGTAATTACAGGTGATCTCGGAAACTTCTGATAATTTCCTTCTTAGTTTATATTTCCGTCGTCTCTCATTCTTTATCCTAAATAATTTTAACTCAGATTTGTGTAGATGTCCTGTATGAAATACATCCTCAAGAGTCAAACTGTATCGGGATTTGGACATTCTCCGCCACTGGAGGGAAATATAATGAAGATGGTGAATTTGGGTGACGAGGGCGTACAGAGAAGAGAGAGGCTCTAGAAATATTCTGTACTGATATGCAGGACGGGTTCGATTGGCATGCCTTTTCAGCAACGATACTAATTAGATTCCATAATAAGAAAAATGTAGCAATTAATTTTATGCAAAAATATTATCTCACATATGGGGAACAGGCCTCCCTCTCTTGACGTAACTCCCACCATCCACGGCACGAGTTCAAGGTCACCACTGAGAAGTATCTTCATGGGGTTCTCACTCATGAATATTTCATCTCCTTCTCCCACCTGCTTCTCAATAACAGGAGCGAATGTGATGGGGAAAATTCTCTCAGCCTGGAAAGTAAAGCGGTACATCAACACCTGATTAACGCGACTCGCTGCACTCAAACATCATTAATTCTTGCAGTTCCCTCCGTAATTCGGTCCTTCAGTTCGTGGGTGAATTGGGGGCGTGTAGTGCGCACGTAGACTTGCGATTCTCCTAGCAAGAAAAGTCTGAGACTCTCAAGTCCGGTGAACGTGATGGCCATTGAGTGTCTCCAAATTGTGAAGTTAAGTGAACTGAAAACATTCCTCTAAGAAGAGTCGTGCTTTTACCTTGCCGTGTTGACCGTTGCACCATCCTGTTTAAACCCTACATTTCTCAAACTTTTCCCCAACCTTCGCAGTTAACGAACGTTTTCAGCACAGTGCAGTAGCTCTCGGGATACACAGTAACGGTCTGGTTTTATTCCTCCAAGTAAATGAGGCCCGATCACACCAAAGGCGTGAGGTTTCTCGTGGATCTGCATAGGATTATCACCGCTCTGGTTCCTGAAATTCTGTTTGCTTATGTAACCAGAGACTGGGCCTCGTCTGGCATGGTCAAAGCATCCAAAACCCCTTCATCAATATCGAAAAGGTCCATAAACTGTCTAAAAGTATCCACACGGCAAGGTTCACACTGTTCGTTCAGTTCGTGAGTTACGGTATTTACGCATGTATATGCCGCGTGCGTGTATAGGCCGCAGCACAATTTTCAGACAGAAATTATAGAAAAAATAATTTTCTTGGAATATTATTTCAGGAGTAGAACACCCTGTA